GAATTATAACATTCCCAAGGCCCTCCTCCTTGATTGGTCTCTCTCAAGAGTGTTAGCCCCTACTTACAAAAGGCAGCTGGTAAATCTCAGTGTCTCTGAAGACGTGATGAATTAAAAGAAATAAACAGGACTAAGTATTTGCAATACCCAGATGCTGAAATTATAAACTCCTGAGCTTTAATTCACTTTTCTTGGCAAATTCTCTCCCATTCAACTCCTGTGTCCTGTGGGTTCTGGCACCAAGCCCAGCAGCTGGGCTCCCTGGAGCGCTGCATCATCTAATAGCAAACACTCGTGGATGACCCCGGGAGGCTCAAAGGCCACCTTAGATTAGCGCGGGGACACGAGGGTGATGAGAACAAACTGCATATCCGTAAGGAGCCTTACCTGGCAATAGATCTTTCCATTTCAAATCCCCTGTAATCATGAACTAAGCACTTGTCAATTATTTTAGCAGAATTCACCTTCTGTTTTCTGACTTATGGAGCAAATGCTAGCAACATAGAAAGGAAAAAAAGGATGGAGGCCATGCTCCCTTCACAAACCACAGCCTCCCCAGAGTTGACCACTTGTTTGTAGAGATCTGCTCTGCTGTCCTGTCCTTTGTGGCTTCAAATCTCCCTGCCCAGTCTTTTAATAATAGGTTCTTAATAGACATTGATTGAAGAAGTAAAGTTTAGGGCATATAGGACTCTTTCATTAAAGATAAAACCTAGTCATTCATCTTTAGCTCAATCTGGCTTCTGAAGCGTGCTAGTTTCAAAGTTCTAGGAAAGAAATGGAAGGGGGCAGTGGGAAAAGACAACAGGAAACTGCAATTACTCATATTGTACAAGTTTTGAAATAGTAATTGCCTCTCCCACTTAGATACCCCTTAACCTACTTCATCTGTCTACAGAGCTTTGTGAATAGTAATTTTCTACCTAGCAATTGCATGCTTCTTCATTCATTAATTTAATCCCCACTTACCGAAAGTCTACCATCTGCTAGCCTAGGTACTTCATATTTATTATTTCATTCAGTTTTCAAAAGGAAGAACAATTTTCTAAATTTCACAGCTAAAAAACTGAGATTCAGAGGTTTTATATAACACTAGAGGCCCGATGCATGAAATTCGTGCAAGAGTGAGCCTTCGCAGCCACGGGCAGCTGTCTGGATCCCTCCCTCGAGGCTGCCTGGATCCAGATCCCTCCCTCATAGCTGCTGTGGCTGCCTTGATTTGGTGGCTGCAGCCCCGGCTTAGTCCGGAAGGACATCCAGTCTAATTAACATCTTATGATTTTATTATTATAGATGGCGAGGTCACCCAGCTAGCAACAAGCAGACCCTGTTTCATAGTTTCTAGTAGAGCAGCTCATTCAGAGATCCTGGTATACAAAGCATTTAGGGATTACATCATCATTTGCTAGAAGAAACTCAATGGAGAGGCCTTTGTTCATTTTTTAAGATCCTCACAATATGTCACTGGAGTGAGGAAGCTGAGGAATCTGTGAGTTTCTTGTTCACATTCCACATGTATACCTGGCCATACATTCTCACCTCCCCTAATGGAGGTATACTTGCTGCTGGCATTCAGTCCACTAATTTGCATCTGCCATGTGCTGTGAAAGCTAAAAAGATGTGTAATTAGAACCCAGGACTCAAGCTCTATCTACTCTTTCAACCAATTAATGAATCAGAGAATTATCTATATGGGGAGAGAGGAGGGCAGGGTTAAGCATGGCATTAGACATGTTCAAGGTTCCCAAACAGAACATTTGTGAAGGTGTCTCTCAAATCCTGTCTGGGAGCCTGGTAGAATCGGGGTACCCTCTTCCTCTGTTCCTATTCTGTCATGAATAGACTCTAACCAGCCTTTCATGCCCACCACTCGACAATGTCACAGATGACCTCCACAACCAACAATCATTCTCAGGCTTCATTTTATTTGACCTGTCAGCAGCCATTTAAAAGTAAATTAATTAAAGTATTGCAAGTTGCATGGATTGCATGTACCTTGGAAATGACCTATAGTGAGCATCTAGTATTTTTATAAAAGATCATTTTTAAAGTCTTAAAGCAATAAATGAAGATTCTTCTCAAGAATATCACCAAATTCAACAGGGAAAAACAATTTCATATGGATCAGTCTAGCTAACGAGATAGCTGAGCCAAAGCCTGGGAGGGGGAAAAACACTCAAGCAAAGATCAACCTAGAATACTACAGATAATAGGGTGCGATGAAGACGGTCAGAAGGGACCAACAACCTATTCTTTGAGTAAGCTGGCTTCCTCTCGTTGGGGATTTCCTGCAAGAAGCATAGGTTTCTATCTGGTAAAGCACTAGATCTGAAGGACAGTCCACTTCAAAGAGATCCATTTCTTTTCCTCCAATAGCAGAATACAGACTTGGCAGAGATCTCTTAATATCAACTCTCTAATATCACTAAAGGGTGACAAATGTGGCACCTGTGCTCCCACTCAGCCTTTCTGTGCCCATGAGTCATAGCTGAAAACATGGCACTCTTTTCCACTGCACCAGACTCGACCGCACAACCCTTCTCAACACAGTGCTCCTAGTAGCTACTACCAATAGGCAGGTGCTGGCCTGGGGGTCAGGGTGGAAGAAAGAGGTGAAAGACAATGTATACCCATGCCACAGAGGAAAAACAAGTCTTTATGCTTATAAAGCAAAATCACATGCACATTAAAGTAGTAGATACTAAACAAAAAAGATGACCAATTGATGAATAGGTGAAAGACCAACCATTCCAAGTCAGAAAACGCTGAGGCATCAAATACATTTCTCTTTTACTTTAGGATGTGACCTCAGAAAAAGCTCTGTGAAAACCAAATCAATCTATTTCAAATAACACACCCAACAAATAATTTCTGTGTATGCAGTCCCAGAATTTCAATTCCTTTGGTGTTATAAGCTCTGGCTTAAAAAAATCATGTTCTCCCCCTTTATCCAAGGATGCTAATAGGGGGAAATCTTCATTCGGTTCTAACCCCAACCAGAAATTTGGCGTAGGGAGAGAAATGCCCACCTGGAAAGCTGACAAAGGCGGTGGATGCAGCTACCCTCTCAAAATGGAATTCCCAGGAGCCATTGTGCATCAGTCAAGGAATACTTTTAGTCATTTTTAAAGCCCAGCAGAACGTGATGACTGTGCTGAAAAAAATTCTTCTTCCTAACCCTCGGGGGAGATCGTGGAGGGCTCCCCAATGTCAGGCTTGTGGCAAATCGTCTAGGACAGTGATTTTAAAACTCTTTCATCTATTGTAAGCATAAATTAATTACTAAAATTCTGCAGCACACCAAAAAATATATTTTTGCAGGTCTGACAAAAAAAGGTACAGTTTTAATTGATTTATAAAGTAATAACAACAACCACCTATCCTTTTTGGTCCAAAGTGACTTTTTTAAAAATCAGATGCCCATACTTGTATATAAGGATTTCTGGTACTCAGAATAACCAATCAGATGCAATCTTATTATGCGACATGACCAATAAGATGCAACTCTCTTATACGACCTATATATTAATGGTTCGAGACAGGGCATTCACACCGGAGCACTACTATTGTGTTGGCTGCTGTCATTTTCTTATTTGACAATCTAAGCAGGGGTTCTCAACCTTGGGTCGCGAACAAAGAAAATATATCCTACATATCAGATATTTACATTACGATTCATAACAGTAGCAAAATTACAGTTATGAAGTAGCAACGAAAATAATTTTATGGTTGGGGTCACCACAACATGAGGCACTGTATTAAAGGGTCGCAGCATTAGGAAGGTTGAGAACCACCGAGGGAAAAGAGGCCAGTGCCCCTGACTAAATATTCAGGTACAAAAATTCTTGCAGCCCATCGGCTGGTCTAGAATCATAGATGCTAATGAAATGAGGCAGCATTGTGAGGTGGTAAGCTCCCTGCCCCAGGCAACATTCGAATGGAGAGACCCGTGATGATGAGTCACAAATGTGTGAATGTGTCATAAATGTGTGGTGTGTCATAAATGTGTGATGTGTCATAAATGTGTGGTGTGTCATAAATGTGTGGTGTGTCAAAAATGTGTGGTGTGTCAAAAATGCCTGGACGTGCCTGAAGTGGGAGGCTGCTGGATTGTTGCTTCCAAATCTAGAACCAAGTCCTCTGGACCAATTCTTAGGCCGTCGCTTCTCATGGGGGATTGACAAAGCCAACAGAGCCAGCAAACACTAAAAAGGCTCAGAGCTTTTGGACAGCCCTCCCTCTCTCTACTTGACTGAAGGTGGAAGAATTACAATGATTAATGTGCATTTATTGTACTGATCTAAAACCAGCAAATTCTGCCAATCAGGATTTATTAGAAAGGAAACCAAAAAAAGCAACATATAATTAGCTGACAGTTATTTAGGAGTTAATTATTCAGTCCTTTGTTTCACTTCTTTCTTCTTCCGACTTAATTCCCTTTTACCACGTCTCTGTTGATTTGATTCCCCATCCATTAGTGAAATAGAGCAGGTGGGACTCAAGGGCAGCCTGTAGTTGGAAGGTGTCATAAGGGAAGGGAGAGGCGGGTGGGAGGATATTATAATTGCTGGAAAAGTGACTGATTTTTTTGTGTTGGTTAGTAGGGTATAAATGGACGTATGGGCTCTGGAGTCAAGCAGACTGGGCTTTGGTTTCTTGCTCTGCCACTTACTAGCTGTGTGTCTTTAATAACTCAGTCGGTCTGACTCAGCTTCCTCGTGGAGAACATGGGGATATTAATATCTGTGTTGGAGGACAGTTGCAAGGACTGAGTAAAATAATCCAAAGAGCCAAATACAGCTCTTCCCACCTGGTAGGCACTCAAGCTGCATTATTAAAAACCACCTAAAAATGTACTCTTCTCATGTAAATAAGACAGGGCTGGAAGCAAATGCTCTTAAACTGAGAAGTAGGTGTTCCCAAGTAAATATACACACTTTAATCTACAAACTGCCTGATTTAAATTTGCATCTTAAAAGTTGCATTAGTTAAAACTTTACCTGCCGACTTCCCTGCTTGGAGGAGCAGGTACTCGGGCTCCTGGAAGGGGAGACCAATTTTGGGGACACCCCAAGGTTCTTCTCATCACTCATCATGAGCAGCAGGTCACGTGGCCTCGATGCAGTCAAAATGCCATCGGGAGACAGTGGAGCAGAGAGTATGGCAGTCCCAAACGGGCAGGTGGCTCAGCTCTTACGCAGTGTGCTCGGAAAGCATTTTGGATGACCCAGAGGAAATCCCTAAAATCAAAAGAAGAGAAAATCAGAGAGCAGGTCAGAGGCCACAGGCATTGTCTATAATTAGCCGCTTGTCGAGTGGCTTATCTGCAGGGCAGAGTACAGAGCCACGAGGCTCTGCTGCACAAGGGCCGTGAAGGAAAAGGTGCTTTACAACTTCCTCTTCCTGGAAATTACGTGTAGGTGGTTTTGTAGCTTTGCAATATGACAGGCTTAGGAACACTGCAGAGTACAAACATCTGAGTCCAGAAACATACAAAATAAGTACTATAAAACCAACCCAAACCACCAGGAGATCGCACTTCATACCCACTAGGGTAGCTATAATAAAATAAAAAAGATAGAAAATAACAAGTTTATTGTTTTGTTAATCCTCACCCGAGGATATTTTTCCACCGAATTTTAGAGAGAGTGGTAGGGAGGGGGAGAGACAGAAAGAGAGAAACATCAATGTGAGAGAGACACATCTTACAAACACATGTTACACTAAGGGATTGGTTGCCTCCCGCACACACCCCAGAGGTACATGCCCTTGACAGGAATCAAACCTGGGACCCTTCAGTCTGCTCTACCCACTGAGCCAAACTGGTCAGGGCAGGAAATAACAAATTATAAAGAAAAGTGGAACCTTCAGGTGAGGGATGTTAAATGGGCAGCCAGAGTTCAAAACAGTTTGGCAGTTTTTTAAAAATGTTAAATATAGAATTATCATATGATCCAACAATTTCACTCCTAGATATATACCCAAAAGAATTTAAAACAGGTATTCAAACAAAAACTTGTACAAGAATGTTCATAGCAATGCTATTCACAATAGCCAAAGGCAGAAACAAACCAGATGAACATCAACTGGTGAATGGATAAACTTCATATGGTATATGCTATGGTCTGAAAGTTTGTGTCCCCCCCAAAATTCATATGTTGAAATCCTAATGCCCCAGGTGATGCTATTAGGAGGTGAGGGGGGCCCATGGTGAGGTGCGTAGGTCCAGAGAGAAGAACCCTCATGAATGGAACTAATGCCCTTCTAAAAGAGACCACACGAGTTCCCCAGCCCCTTCCCCGCCCCCAGCCCCTTCCCCCGTGTGAGAACACAGTGATACATCTGCAGCCTGAAGAAGGCCCTCTGACCCTGCTGGCACCCTCATCTTGAAGTTCCAGCCTCCAGAGCTGTGAGAAATAGATTTCTGTTGCTTACAAGCCACCCAGCCTGTGGTATTTTGTTGCAGCAGCCCAAAGAGACTAAGACAGTATGTCCATACAATGGAATGTTATTCAGGAATTAAAAGGCATGAAGTCCTAAATCATGCTATAACATGGATGAACCTTGAAAATATTACACTTAAGTGAAAGAAGCTAGAAACAAAAGACCATGTACTGTAAGCGCCTGTTTACAGAGACTATCCAGAGTGGTCAAATCCAAGGAGACAGAGGGCCACTCGTGGTGGCCAGGGGCTGGGGGTTGGGGAATGGGTTGTGACTAGTTTATCCCCTGGGCCTTCCTTTCAGGGTGATTACCATGTTCTGGAACCAGATGATGGTGATAGTTGCACAACATTGTGAATATAGTAAATGTCACTGAATTATATACTTTAAAGTCGTTTAAAGGTGAATTTTAGGTCATGTGCATTTTACTACAATTTTAAAAAATCTTTTTTGGGGGGTGAATGATGGGAAATATGTTCCACCACAGGTTTGTAGGGATGTCATCTTAAAAAAACCATTACACGACAAAAACCAAGGGGGAAAGCAGAATTTTCCCATATCACCTCTTAGTATGTTAGTAATTAAAACAATGATCATTTGATGGCTTCCCACACCTATTGTCTCATTTAATCATCATTCTGGCGGGAGAGCATTACCTCTATTTCACAGAGGAAAAAACTAAAAACTGGGGTTTCTGACAAGTTGGGTCAGTTGCCTGATCACACAGCAGGTAAGAGACTGAGTCCGGTTAGATCCCAGGCCTTTAACGCTGGTGCTGGAAATCAGCATCCTGACAGCCAGGTAGGCGATGACAGCTTCTGCACCCTCTCTGAGACCCAAGAGAACTGAGGAGCTGGACTAGAAAAACTCGGATAGAGCTCAGCCGGTGTGGCTCAGAGGGTGAGTGTCGACCTATGAGCCAGGAGGCCATAGTTCAATTCCTGGTCAGGGCATGTGCCCAGGGTTGCAGGCTCCATCCCCAATGTGGGGCGTGCAGGAGGCAGCAGATCAACGATCCTCTCTCATCACTGATGTTTCTATCTCTCTCTCTCCCTTCCTCTCTCTGAAATCAATAAAAACATACAAAAATATTTTTTAAAAAAGAAGAAAAAAGCTGTGCATTTCCAAAATGCAATGCTACTCAGCTGTAAAAAAAAAAAAAGAAAAGAAAAAAGAGGAAGAAAAAAAAAAAACCTCAGAGAAAGTGTGCATCATCACCCCGATTTGAAGAGGCAGCAGCATCCCATTCCTTTCCATGCACAGCACCAACCTTCAAGACAGCAAGTCTGTGGTGGGGAAGGGGGTTGACCAGGACTGAGACAGGGACACCCTTAGAGTGTTAACTGGGCTGCCACCTGCCACCCCTGCAACATTTTTGGGGGGGTGAACCACTGCCTTCATCCACAGCCCCAAGTTAAGGGTGATTAACGAGTTTGGTTTGGGCTTCAGAAGGCCAGGCTTTTATTTGACAAACTAGTTTCAAATAAATTCTACAACTTTGCCAAGCATATTAACAATGAAAAACAATTTCTATCTAATCCATTCAGTTCTTAGTGTTCACATAGTATATTTTAAAAGAAGGGTGTTATATAATTGTCCAGGAACCAGCTAGATATTGTATCATACTTTTAGTTAATTATTAAATATTCCAATCTCTGCCTTTCACTAACACTTAGTTCTTAAAAAACAAAAAACATTGCCCTAACCAGTTTGGCTCAGTGGATAGAGCGTTGGCCTGCGGACTCAAGGGTCCCAGGTTCGATTCCAGTCAAGGGCATGTGCCTTGGTTGCGGGCACATCCCCAGTGGGGAGTGTGCAGGAGGCAGCTGATCGGTGTTTCTCTCTCATCGATGTTTCTAACTCTCTATCCTTCTCCCTTCCTCTCTGTAAAAAATCAATAAAATATAAAAACAAAAAAAAAACCAAAAAACATATGCTAAAGCTGTAAATTAAAACCAAGACAATGAAGGGAAAGAAACTCTCAGAAAATACAATTAAGGTATCTGTAGCTATAGAGCTCAATTCCCATGTTGCGTTCACAGAAAGTACCCTCCAAATCTGTGTTCATTACGCACTGTATCCAACAATGGACCAGGCTCTTCGTAAAGTAGCTTTTCTTATGGGGCATGACTGTGCCTGAAGCTAGAGGCAATGCAAGCTAGTTAACAACTGCCAAGGTGAAAAATGTTATAAGTGTGTATTAAGTGGTGTTTGCTGTTGCTGTTTGAGAAAGGTAAGAAAAAAAACTGATGGGAACCCCAAATTATGAGACAAGGGGCAGCCATTACTGTGACAACTGATTCCCCAGTGGTTTAGGGATACCAACAACATTTTTCTGTGTGTGTATTTTTTTAAGGCTGAGATCCTGACAGTAAGTATGGGACGAGGTGGCGTGTGACATGTGAAGAAGGAAAAGAAAGAGCACCTGGGCAACAAAAAGGAGAGTCACAGGAATTCTGAAACAGAAATCAGAAGCAGCCTTACCCTGTGGTAGAGACCACAGATGAAAGGGGACATCTTGATCTTTGAACTCTGCCAAATTTCACTTCTCAACCGCGGCCAAGGCCCGGGCTGTGAGTAGGCCAAGTGTACTCCTTTAAATGGGTACTTAGTGTTGAGGCGTCTGAAGAACCACGGTCGGGGACCACCCCCACCCGGGCCCCGTTTTCTCCTTCAGGGAAAGGAAAGGGTGAGAATCCACAGCCCCCCCCCCCCCCCACACACACACACACACATACACACATCTGTCGTTCTGGGAGAGTCTGAATTTTGCCTAGGAAAAGAGATCTGTTTCATTCCCAGAACCTTCCTGCCTAGCCTCATCAGATATTCTGTTAAAATTTCCAAAGGTGGCTTAAAGGACAAAAGAAGTCAAATTCTGGGGAAAGGATTTGCTTAAAACGGCAGAATAAAGAATGAAGGCAGCGGTGGCCCTAATGGTACAGCCCATGTGGCATGAGGCAGCTACTGCTTCCCACCCCAGAGAACCGCAGGAAGACCTGGATGGGAGTCCCCAAACGAAGGGCCTGGACGAGGGGAGTCACACAGAAGCCTGGCGTCTCCCACTCCACGTGGCACACTTCCTGGGCTGGGGCTGACCTAGGGAAATGGGGAAGAGAAAGCCCTGAAGGGAGGCAGATACTGTCCAGGGGCCAGGCCGCCAGCTCAAGGGTGTTTGAGATAATGAGCTGGGCGCAAATGAGGAGCCTTGAGTGACGTCACCCATCCCCATGGCCCTTCCATGGAAAACCTCTAACTCAAGGGGTTTATAGGTTTGAACAATAGTTCCCCTGCTCATCAACTGTGAGCAATTTAAGGACAAACATTTATGTCCCCCTTTATTTTTTACTGAGGCATATGGTAAAGTGAACAAACCTTAGGGGCACAGACAGCTCTATGCAATTTTACATTTGCAAATACTGACTCCGCCACCCCACAGATGAAGAAATGGAGCATTTGCTGCCTCCCCAGGTCCCTGGCCAGTGATCTGACTGGTAGGGGCCAGACCTCCTTAAGCCTCTCCGGCAAGTACTTGTTCACGTGCCCCAGACCGGAGCCGGGACGTCCCCACGCCTACAGGAGCAGGCTGCGCCTTTTGCCTTACACAGGTGTCTGATGTGGAACAGATATTGTCTGGACCTGCTTTCATTTCAACAAACTACCTGGCAGCCAAATCCAACAGGTGAGTAAAGCCCGAAGCACTTAGGCCAAATCAAAAGGGCCCTGCTTGTGCCCCTGGGATGAGCCAGGCCTCTACCTCCATTGCAGCTCGGGAAGCTGATGGGTCAGGCCCAGGT